TGGCGTGTGCCGTTGAATGGAATGACAGCGACACACGAGAATGACGCAGTTAGGGGGATCTACTTTGGTAGTTCGTTCGATCGTTATTCGGTTGCTTCGGCTCGCAGAATCGATGATCGTGAGGAAAATGGAAAACTAGTCGGTATTTACGAGTTTTTGCGCAGCGGAGACGCTTCGACGGAAAAAAATAGAGAGCGAACTGTCGCGGTGATTCATCGTTTACACGGTCGATTTTTTTTATTTCGCACAAAGACTGGACGCGATAAATGTTTCACGTAGAAACATTTAACCGATCAGTAAAGTCTCGCGCGAAGGGATTGATATCTGTAAATTTTTTTTTTATCGGATTTTCGAATATCGAACGGTCGTGGGTGGATTCAAGGTCAACGGGAATGGTTCTTCGGTTGGGCATGGTTTATCGAAGTAAATCGCTGGGATAAAGGAGAAACTGGTTGTTCTGTTGCACAGGGAAACATTTCTAGGCGATCTAGTCGAAGAATAGGTTCCACAGCCCTCAGCCTTTGGCTCCTAGGAATCCAATCAATAAATATTACAATGGAACCCCTAGAGAAGTAGGGGAGCATATCCTCCTCCCGCTCGGCTCCCATCTCCTCGTCGTCCTCTTCCTGGCGCGTCGGTGGAAAAAGGATCTGTCCTACGTCGCGCTCTCGCAGTCCCGTTTCTCGTCCTCGTTCACCTCTCGTCCACGACTACATCCGCGAAACTTCGCTGCTTTCTCTCTTTCTCCTCTCCGCCCTCCTTCCCGCCGATCCTCCCACACCCCATCCTCCTTGCTTGCTTTTTCCCTCGCTTTACCCTACTCCTTTTTATCCCTTTCTCTTTCTCTCTGCCATCTCTCTGTCCTTCCCGCCCGTTTCGTCGCTGCCTCGCGTCCCCTCTCTCCCTTCCTAAGCCAGCACCAACTCCCGTTCAACCCCCTCGCGCCCGCGCCCCATCCCCCCGCCATCCCTCTCATCCAGCAGCGTTTACATTTTACTTTTCTAGTAGCGAATTAAAACCGCGTTCATGCGCAGCCCGCGGAAGGGCGTAATGATTTTTTGAGGGGCGAATCGAGTGGGGTCGCCTACAGCATCGACGGAGGGGGTAGTAGCTGCGGGCGCGAGCTTAGCTGGAGCAGGATGGCAGAAGGGATCGCGAGACAGGCCGACTGTCGAATAGATGGATGAAAGCTAGAATCTAGCCGGGGAGAGAATCGACAGGGGGTGAGGGGGCAGAGTAGGGGTGGACTCGTTAAAATAGCAGCGAACGATTATGGATATACGAATCTGCTAGAAATAATACTTTTACGAACTTATCAGGGTGTGTTGTTTCTCGTAGTTCCATAACCCGTAGGGGCAGCATCTTTTGCTGCTCCGAAGACTAGATCCGTAGCAACCGTTTGCGTCGAGGTTTACACAGTTGCGAATCATTGTTTTTTTTTTCTTCTACTAACCCCTAATCAGAGTCTAGACTTCGTGGCGACACCGTGAAGGGAGGGAGAACTGACCCCTGTGGGATATCCAAATAGAACAAAAGATGTTTCGTGCCCGTTGTCGTTAACACGCTCGTTCGTCGGTGTGTGTACGACGGTTGGTCGGACGAATAAGATCGAGCGGGTGCGCGCGTGAAGTGGCTGGACAGTTTTCGTAAGTTATCAGCAGTCACCGGGAATCAAATCGAAGGGGTACGAATCATGTCTGGTCCACGATGATCCGGCGTACGGGGGAATTAAGTTTTTGGCCACGGTGGCGCCTTGAAAATTCCAGCTCTAGCACTTTTAATTGGAAGTCGTTAGCTTTGCGCATTTTCGTCTCGTGGGTTAACGGTTGAGGTGGGGTGGGCTCGTTCAAAAGAGAAAGATAGACCGAGTAAGGGGGGTAAAGAAAGAGAGGTTAGGGCGAGAAGGAGAACCAGGGAGGGTTGTCGAGGAAAAAGTGAGAGGGACAGAGAGGAGAGGAGAGAACAGAGAAGAGGAGAAGAGAAAAGAGGTGGGCTTGATGGCAGGGAAGAGGGGTGAAAGGGGAGGCATGGCCGATGCGGCCACAGGCATAAAGCTCTCCCCACCATACAAGAATCGGCTCCCTTTTCTCTGTTCCTCTCTCCTCTCGGGAATACACACACACACACACACACAAACTCTCTCTCTCTTTCTCTCTTTCTTTTGCCGTCTCTCCCTGCGTACGCACTATTTTTTAGTCCGCACTTATTACGACAGATGTCTCATGCTCCGATAAAGAATAACGGCGGCCGGCGGGCGCCGTCCCCCCGTCCTCCCTCTCCGCGTGCGCTAGTCCTAACCAGGCTTGGGAGCTGCAGCCCGTACTCTCGGCGGTTCTCCTCGTGTGGCTCTCGTGGTGTCGTCGTGACACGACGCGACGCGACACGGTTACGTTACCTTACGTTACGCACACCTTCTTTTTTTTTCTCTCTCTTTCTCTCTCTCTCTCTCTCTCTCTCTCCACCCTCGCCTGGAGCGAGGGCTCCACCTCCTCCCTCTCTTACGCGACTCGGAACGTGTTGCGCCGCCGTGACAGTGACTTTGTTCCCCGAGACGTGTCAACGGCTGGCTGGCTGGCTCGGCCTAGCTGACTGACTGTGACTGTGGTCTGGACTCTGGTGTGTGTTGTTTAGCCTATACACTCCGTTAACGCGATTCGTTGCTCCACGCGGCAGGAGTCACAGAGAGTGTCCACTCTCGGCAAATCGACAGTGGTGGGTGGTGTTTTCCCGAGTGTGTGTATGTGGTGTGGAACCGACACCGGCAAGAGGATCCTTCGCATTCCGGAGAGTGTGAAGAACGCGCGGAAATTTGCGTCACGGTGGCGACTGCTGCCCGCCGGCATCCCGAACAGAGAGAGCACGTGGCTAGGTGGGTAGGTGTGTGCGTGCGTGCGTGCGAGACCAGAACGTTTGAAATTCCCGCGCGTACACCCGCCACGACGCTGGCTGGACCGGTCTTCCTCGACGGTTACCCGGTCTTTTCGTATTTCGCGGTATCCCAGGGACAGAAGAGAGAACGACAGAGACATGGACCGACGAATGAACAGAAACGTAAACTCCTGGTCCTTCTGTCTTTCTTTCTGCTACGACCACCAGTCCATAGTCCATGGTTTCAGTGGGCGTGTAATATCGTCCGCCCCGAAAAAGTCGGATTTCACCCCTCGTGTGTCTGAGAGCCTCGAAGCCTATCCACTCGCGACAACCCTCTTCACTCCTCTCACCCTCGCACGGATCGAGCATAAAACGCGGTCGTTCGTGTGTAGCTACACAGGCCGAAAGAGGAGAAAAATTTGATAGATTTTTGGGCAATCGAAACTCCGTTTTTCGTATGACAGTTGGCTGCGCGAGCGCGCGCCAAAAAACAGCCGAAGGGGTGCGCTTCCGAATCTCGGCTACTCGAGAGACACAGTAGAATAGTCACACACGTGAGCGACGAGTCAGACAGGTGCCGGGAGGTGAACCGTCCGTCTATCCAGTGGAAAAACCGCTCGAGTTTTCCCTATTTCGCTTCGCGCGACACCATTCTGGCGTCGACCTCTCGTAGGAGAAGCAAAATTCGATCTCCAAGGCCCTGGTGGCGAAAATTCGCGACGCCCCCGTCGTAGCTCGTCTCCTCTCGACGATTCTCCACCAAATCTTCGCTCGTTCGTCCTCTCTCTCTCTCTCTCCCTCCCTCTTCCCTCGTGGTTCTCCTGCTCTCTTTTTTCCTCCCTCTTCTTCCTCCCTCTTGGTCTGATGTGCCTGCTGCCTGTATATCCCTCCGTTCGTTCGTCGTTCGTACGTGCTGTTCGTGTATGCGTGTGCCTCTCTTGCCGTCGCGTTCGTGGTATCTATCTATCTCTCTCTTTCTTTCTCTTTCTCCCTGCTGGCTTTCTCTCTTCCCCTCGCCACGACCTCCTCCTTCTCGCTCTTGTCGGGTCGTTCTCGCTCGTCGTACCGGCGATCGCCGGCTTTTCGTACGTTTTCGTGCGGCCTCGCTGCCGCGCCGCGCGACGTACGCCCGCGTCGTCGTCGTCGTCGTCGACGAAGGCCACACAGCTGCACAGTCGTGACGTGACGTTTTGGGGGTTAGTTCGCACGGTATGTGACGGAGAACGAGGCCACCGGTGGGACTGTGCTGCCTCTCCAACGTGCACACACACCCGTGGTGGTGGTGGACGATCGTCGTGTCGTGCGTTTCCGGTTTTCGAACGGGTCGCCACCGCGCGCGGCTGTTACACTCCTTTCCTTCTCTTTCCTTCGCGTGGCCGTTTCGTTCCGTGTCCGTTGGTTCGTTGCTCTCGTGGCGCCATACGCGTGCGACATGTGATCCTTTATCGTTGTGATTCCCTCGATCAACAGAGTATCGACGAATCGCGAGGTTGTGCCTGCGGAAAGCAGGAAAACGACGTTACTTTACCGTTTCGAGCCTCTCTCAATTACCACTTTTCTTTTTTTTTTGTTCCTCTTCCTTGTTCGCGGTGGCACGCGCGAAATCGTACGCGGATTATCTCCTGAATTCTTTGCTCGATCGTCGATCGTTCAGTTCCCCCACTCCACCCCCGCCTGGGACGATCTCGTATATCGGTAACGCGCGCTAGACGAGCGTTTCGCTCGCGTGTCCGCTTCCACTACTCCGGGCGCTGTGAATTGATTCGCGTTCGATAAACCCGGCCGCAGATTTTCCGTGTCCCGTCGACGAAGATCGAACGAGAGGGAAGAGAGTGCCCCGTGTTCACACACAGAGAGACGGAGGAGCGACGTGTGTCTCCTCGATCGCGTCCGATTGGTCCCGTTGAGAATGACTTTCCGTCACGAAGCAGCCGCAGAAGCAGCAGCAGCAGCACTACTGGCCGAGTGTAGGGGACTTATTCGCGAACTTGTGAAGTGCGCACTTTTTTGCGAGGTGGCGTTGTGGAGATAAAACGCAGACCAGTTTCAATTCAGTTCATTGTTACGGTCATTAGCTTACGCGGCATGACGAGTGATAGGTGTGCTTTCGCGATAACGCATCCGCTTTTTTCAAACTGTGATTCGTCTCTGGATAGTGTGGTGGTGAATGTGCCTTAGAAATACGAGAATCGGTAACAGCCGTTTAGCCGCGATCGCAAAAGGGAAAAGGTAATCAGTACACAGACCACGGGGGGTGGGGGAGGGGGGACTGGTCCCTTCTCTGCCTGTCCCACCACCGATCTTGCGATCGTATCCTCCCGGCCGTGCGTACGATTTTTCACGAATGTGCGTAAGCGCGTTTGTACTCGGATGTATGTGACAGCAATCGTTTCTGACGTTTCGTATACGGCAACTATCGTCAATTTCCCGCGTTGCCTGTCTGTCTGTTCTACTAGTGGAAGAGAGACGAAGGAACGACGAAATCACAGTGTTACCTTTATTTTTCTTTAACTCGGTCGACGGCTGTCGCACGTCACACGGCGAGAAACGTATTTAGCGAAGCAGTACGGTAAATAAAGTCGTCTTTCTTTCTCCCGTGTCCTCTGGATCGTCAACAGAGTTAGAATCCGGGCTCTATAATCAAAGCGTTGCTGGCCAGGATTTTCACGAGACCGCGAAACTTATCGCGAATTCGTCACACATAAATTTAGCAGTGCGCGATAGCGAACTTAAAAAAAGTCTGAAAACAGTTTTCGAATCGCGCCCGTCGTTTTATGATAAACTGAGTATCGAGAACGAAAAAATCTTTTTTTCTTTTGCTTCTCGTCTTTGGTAGCACCGTTGCCGCGATAATCGTTCGAAAGTAGTATCCAAAATATTGAAACAAACATAATTTTCTGCTCCGATGTTTGTACACTGTCCGAATTCTCGTACCCGCGACCGCGTCGGTTTAATTACTATTTTCTTCGAAGTTGCGAGAACCCGACGAAACCTAAAAATACCTTACGAATCGGTGATACGCTTATCAACGGAAACGTTATAAAATACTATGCACGGTGGTGTCCGTGGTGCTTTTTATCGTGACTAACGCGTTGTAGAAATAGAACATGAAAAAAAAAAAGAAAATAAGAAGAGAACAGAAAAGCACACGGTTATATCTACGATCATTAATTCTATTCTCTATATCGAAGCTTTTGTCATCGCGTTACCAGCACATTCGAGCGCGTAGCGAGCGAGCACTGTAAATTTGTTTGAAGATCTTTCCTTTTTTTTTTTATCATTTTGCTAAGATAACACTATCAGCATACATTTAATGCTTGCGCTTTTATAAGTGGCGGAGAGAATTATTTAATCGTACGTTCTGGCTTCACTCCAGCCTGGCGACCTAATTTTCTTGTATGGTGCAAATAAAAAGTAGTGTAATTCGTTGCCGTCTATTTTTATGCCATGCACTCTTTAATTTTTATTCTTCGTACGCTCCCTCGCTACATCGTGTCCGATCCGATTTTAATTAGTACAATTTTCTCCGCTTGTAAACGTGTGAGCGCTCGCGCGCGCAAGGTTCCTCACGGTTTTGCACGAGAGTTTCGCGAGCTTCGGACGAGGATCGTTTTGAAGCGAACGTGTATGCGTGTGTGTGTGTGTGTGGAACACGCTTCTGGTCGTTTCGCGTTCCCGATGCCACGTAAAAATACCGCGAACTCAGAAGTGTTGTTTTGCAACGGCCGCGGGAAGACGGGAACGTTTACGCTCCCGTATTTTTATTCCGTCGGAATTAATAACATATGTTCCGATCCGAGACACCTTCGGTCCACTTCTGTCCGCACCGGGCGAATCTGCGTATTAATTCGTCGTCGTATTATATAAGTTTTTCGTGGCAGCCGAGGCACGATGAAAGAAATTAACATCTGTTCTAATGCCACACCTATGGTAAACACGCCGGTTAAATACCACTCGATACCAACACACATTATATAATTCCTTTTGCCCCGTTGTTTATTCGATAGACGAATTACTCGGCTCTTCTCATGTGTTTCCTTTTTTTTTTCGCAAATACTATCGCGAGGGACATCGAGCAATATTCTCGCGCAAGCGTGTTGCAACAGTGTGTATGTGTGTGTGTGTGTGTATATATATATTTTTATTTCGAAACAACGTTTATCGAAAATTATCGGGTCTGCAGAATGCTTATCGGTGGTGTTTATCGTGCAACTAGCGAAATTTCAGCTTTCTGATTTCGTTTCCTGGGCCTGGTTGCACGCGGCGGTTCGTGACGCGAGATTCCACGCGCTGGTCGAGAGACCCGATTCTCCGGTACTCGATTAAAAGGTTCCGTAATTCGCCCGGAGCCTGAGTGAGGCGAAATATTTTATTACGACCCGATAAGATAAACCGGGGTTCGCCGGTTTAAATAGCGCACATATTATTTCTGATTATAGGTGAATAGATATAACGATGGTAGATACGCAACACTTTTGCCTGCGATGGAACAATTACCAAAGCAGTATAACGTCGGCGTTTGAAAACTTGAGGGACGATGAGGATTTCGTGGACGTCACACTGGCCTGCGATGGCAAGAGCCTCAAAGCGCATCGGGTCGTACTTTCCGCGTGCAGTCCCTACTTTAGAGAATTGCTCAAGGTAAGATCTATACACTCCATCGGGGACTTCTTTTTTTTTTTATTTTTTTTCCGCCACCCCTTCTACTCCCCTCTTGCATTCTCTCTTATTTTCCGTTCCCCGTCAGCGCCCCACCGACTCGATACATCATCGAGTGGAACGTCAATGTTTAACTAATGCGAGGAAATGTGTCTCTTCTTCTCTTCCCCGCGATCCCCATTTTGCAGAGCACCCCGTGCAAACACCCGGTGATAGTACTTCAGGATGTGGCGTTCAGCGACCTGCACGCTTTGGTGGAGTTCATCTATCACGGGGAGGTGAACGTGCATCAGCGTTCCCTTAGCAGCTTTCTCAAGACTGCCGAGGTCCTCAGGGTATCGGGACTCACGCAACAGGCGGACCAAACAGACAGGGACGAGGTAACGTTGCAGTTTCTTTCGCTTCCGCCGAACCCTTTGAACGTCTCGCAAAACGTTCTCCTTTAGTATCTACAATATTCTTTAATCGCGACTTCTCCTTCGTCGCGGCACGCTAGAACGCGAAAAAAATATTACCGGCCATATGTAATATCGAGGCTCATACGCGAGCAACTCGGTAAAAGTGATTATGCTTTGCATGTTATCTCTGACAGAGAGAGAGAGAGAGAGAGAGAAAGACGTGACTTTCAACTAAAGAGCCCAGCCTTATCTGACTGCACAATGTATTATATCCATCTTGATTCCAATCCATAATTGTCATAGGTCAAGCGAACAAAGATAACCGGCGAATGTTACAAATAGAAACTGCGAACGGTTTGTAAGAAGAAATGTAAACGATAACGAAAAACAGGGGATTCCACGAAATCTACCGACTCGGTCTTTTGGGTGTGGGAGGGGAGGGGGTAAGTGGCTCGAGGAAGGGACGCGTGCGGTTCGGGAAAAAGTGGTCATCGAATAGGCGGGGTAGTGCCAGTCTACGATCCTAATTAAGCGTGTGACGTTATGTCTGTTTCGGTCTCTAGCTGTCCCATGTCCGTGCATTGGCCGCCGGTGGTGGCAATCACCTTCCCTTCCACGAGAGATTGGATGAGAGTTTCCCTCGTGGTGGTTCCCCGCCCACGCCGATGACACCGACACCGACCACCGTGCAGCAATTGTTACGCAGAGCACAGATACGCAGGAGACGAACGCCGAGCCCCCACGACGAGTCGACGGACAAGAAGCTGAGGGCGACGTCGCCGCCGCTCAACAACAACGACGCGACGCCTACCGATTTCTCGATGGTGAAGAGCAACCATCTGCCGAGCAAGGTCGAGGGTAACGGGGTACACGAAGAGAACAGCCCCCTAGAAGACAACATAAAGTGCGAGCCACTCGAACTGACAGGCGGGAACGGCGGGAACGGCGGGAACAACGAGGACTCGTCGGATTCCGGGGCAGCGGCGTCGGATCGGCCACCAGCGTCCGCGAGCAGTAACGAGCACGAGGTCGAGTCCGAGCACACGTCTACCCCGAACTTTCTGTCCGACACGAAGATATTTCCGCCCACACCTGGAAGCTTTAATTTCAGTATGGCGGCCCTCGCCACGGAACACACACCGTTGTCAGGTACGCAATACAAATCCACAGTCGGACAGGCCTGTACGCATTGACCAATTTCAAATCGTCTCGTCCGAATACGAATCCGCGTGTGAGAATCCTCCGACGATACGTTGCGCGCAGATAAGTGTCATATACACACATGGGAATTTGTTCTTTTACTATTCGGTTTCTGTATCGATACACTGGGCCAATATGGGAATTGAGGTTACAGGAGAATAGATATTCCAACTATGGAATACGATTCGGAATTTACCTCGTATGGATTGGATATTTGTTGAAGGGAGATTTTATTAAAACACCATCTGAATTGAAATTATCGTTTATTTAACTGTATTTGGTTATTATAGTTCGATGGTGACTGCAGGTTTTGCAGGTCGAAGTATCACGGTGATGAGTGTTTTCTGGGTACCTTGGGAGTGTCGCTCGTTTTGTTGTTTATCGTTTAGAAGACGATCATAGAAGATTCCTGTCGTCTCGAGTCTCTCGTAATTGCGATGTTGCGTACAGGCCCTTGATTGATTGCTTGTCGCGATAGAACGTTCTATTCTACGTGTGACGATAGTGAAATTTCCAGGATTGGGCCACGGGTTGCAACCACCGGATTTGGCAGGAACTTCGCAAGGTAAGAACATTTATCATTTAGCTCTGCCTTTGAAAATCATTAGAATCGACCCGCTCGAGGGGAGAGTCGCAGGGACCACCGTAAGCTTTTTCCATCCGCACGATTGATCCGTTCTCTGTAAAAATCGACCGCTATAGGTCCGGTCGACTCGATCCTCCGATTCTTTTGATTCTTCCGAGGGCATTTTTACGCTGTTCCATTATTTTTCCTGCGACAGTCGATACATCGTGTCCCGCAGTCGTTTGCGGTGTACCGGTTCGCTCTAATAAAAGTAACTAAAAAGATCTGTGCAGTTAAATCAGACTAACAAATCACGAATTACAAGAATGAATATTCCTACTATTTATTTAATTATAATTATTATTTTTTTTTAATTTATTTATTTGGTTGCGGTGAAAGAGCACTACTGTCTGCTTGAACGATTAAAACTTCTTCTAATTGGCATGCGGTATACAAAAATCATTGATATCATCATTCCTTATATGGTTTACCATTTACGATTCGCCTGCATTACGCATTTCATGATGTCATAACGTTCCGCGGTTACCAACGAATTCACGATGTAAGAAGGAATTTATCTGCTGCTGACTTGTTGTTCCATTTTTGCAACCTTCGATTCCGACAGAAAACCGCGCCAACGTTGACCGATGTCGGACGGAACGTAGTAGATTCAACTGAAAAAGAAGAGAAATATCTCTCTAAACTGTTTACCTCGTTCGGTGCTGACTTGCATCCCGCCCTGGGTAACGAAAACACGACTTGTCGCACGGGATCGATACGATTCATAGATTCGCGAGACGTTCTGTGTTCGTACCGAATGTCGACGAGGATAGCACAGCACAGATACATTCGCTCGCGCAGCCGTCTGAATTCGCTGCGATCATTTTAATTGGCACATAGCGATGAAAGAAACCAGCAGTTTGGCATCACTGTACAAAATATCAATTCGTCGTGATCTATTTCTCATGTCTGAGAAAACGGAAAAATTCCCCCCTCCCCCTCGCCCACCCGACAAAAACAAAAAAAAAATCAAAAGTATTGAAGAAGTTGACAAGCAAAGATGCAACGACAGACTGTTCTCTTTGTATACAGCTAATAATCCACGGAGAAGTTTACCGAATTAATCGTTTCTTTTTAGTTTCGCGAGATAACGCGTCGCAAACATCGCGTTCGATTGACGATCGATCGTCGACGTGTTACATATACATAAATAAATAAATACATACTGTACATGTATTTATACGTGCCGTGCTCGTATTGTCCAACTCGTCGTTTAAGTATTTTTGTATCACTGTTTGTCGTCCCATTAACGTTTGGTAACGGAATACACCCCGCTGCCGCGATATCGCCGATACGACAGCATTATGACATTGCTTACCAGTCTTACATTTACGAATATATTTATATCTCCCTCTCTATATATATGTATACATATGTATTATATTATATACGTATATATATATATATATGTATATACCAACATATATATGTATGTACTAATCTGAAGGATTACAGTTGTACACCGTAACTGTACGTAATTTATAATCGCGAGACGCCTCGTTACGAGACACCACATTGCAACTTGCTCGTTTTCAATTACGAAAGAGGATGTGATAGGTCAAGCCCAAGTTTGTCACGCTCCTTTATATTACATGTTCGACGGATATTTGCTTCCCCACTTCCCCTGTCCCCCTGTCGCGAATACTATTATAGTGACTACTCTGTGTTACGGTACATATCTCGACTTATTGCCGATCTTTAATCCACGCGAAACCCAGTGTCTGCTTTTTACGCGGGGTGGGACGGTTAACGGCAATAAAGTTACCACCAAAAACACTGTTGAACGTGTTCCGATTCTACGAAAAGAGGTGTTCTCCGTCAACTTTCCACGCTGTCCATCGGCAGGAAACCATTTAATATTCGCGTTACATTCCGTCGTCGAGGGGATCGGTCGAAGTTTTTAAAACGGAGTCGTGACCAGAACGAAACATGATTTTCGGCCACGATCCTTGGCGAGAAGAGGAGAAGGCCTTTAATAAAACCGCGTCCTGACAGCAGCAACGGCAGCGTCGTTAAGTAAATTCAGGTGTGGCATCTCCCGCCGTCTTTTCGATTAATATTTGAACGGCTGGCTTATACTAGGTTAGTACTGAAAAAGTTATCAGGGGCCGTCGATAAGGCCGCAGATGTTATCCGCGAAATTCAAGGTCCCTCTATCTCCGACGAACGTGGCCAACTAAACATTGGCCTAACTAAAAATACGACGACCTTGGTAAGCCACTCACGTTCCTGCGGCGCACTGCGAATCATTAGACACATTAAATTATACGTGGCCCCGTCGTCGTCCGTCCGCGCGGGCCCCCTCCGGTTCGACCCGCACCTCTGACGACCACCGTCGTCTATTTTCCAACTCGGACGTTTATCCTTTCGCGAATACTATTCCTCTCTCTTTTCCTTTGTCTTGCGTCCCTCTTCCCTGTTAGATTCCCGCTGGTCGCTGGAGACAATAAAACGCAGTCGAACGGAGGCAGAGTACGACGGTTGCAGCGACGTTTTCGCGACGCAAAAATAGACTGTTGTGTTTGGACGGACGTTAAAAACGATACCCACCACCGCGAAATCATTCTCCCTTGCCCCGCGAAAATGTCTATAAGCAATCGTTTAAAATGTCTATAAAAAATGTCTATAATTCCTCGGAAGGCACGGCGGTCGATTCTTTCTAATCGGTGGATAATTCGCCTCGACGACGTGTACGGTCGGAACGAATCGATCATTTGTTTTTTTCGTACTCTTTCTTTTTTTTTTATCGCGCTAAGGCCTCTCCGCTTACATATCTATCGTAGCGCCCGCGACCCCACGTACGTGCTCGCGACACAGACATTTTTCGGTTAGACCGAAGCGAATTGCAACGCCGTGATTTTTGGCAACGTTTCAAGCGTCGAATGAGAGATAGTTGTGTAGGGTCGTCGGTCCCCGCCAAACTTTCCACCTACTCTCGGTTCGTTAACGACAATAACGTCCGAATTAAATGCTATCTCCGCTTCGGCTGTTCCACGCGACGATATTGCACGTGTGTGTTCGTTCCGTTCGTTCGTTAAGCGGACTATTAATTATTCCTACTTTTGCAAACGAGAGGAGAATAGGATTATAATGTTATTGCACACGAGAGAAAGTTGGTAGGAATTCAGGTTTCCGATTGGTAATTCATTATATCGTGTCGTCCGTCTTGGACGATTAAAAACGATTACGCCCGTTGATATAGTGGTCATGGTAGTAGTGTCGATTGTTATCGTGTTGCGCGTATCGAAACGAGAGAGCAAGGTCTAGAAGTTTCGTAGATCAAATTTAGAAAGCGCTTGTTATCACCGTCCGGGGGTGATGGGGTGGAGGGAGAGGGGACCGATAAAGTGAAATTTTATTCGCGTCTGTGGATCGTTTGTTCGCGCTCGGCCCGCGTTCTTTAATCGCCTTTAATTCCTAATGGCTGTGGTTACGTAAAAAACAATCGTACCAGATAGAAAGTACAACGTACGACCACTTGTCGCGCGAAGCTCTTCTTTGTTCGCGTTCGCCACTTCTCTACTCGAGCCTCTTCGTTCGAATCTTTTTATTCCGGCAGCCGGCTGCGAACATATGCTCGCAGTCTGCGCGTTTCTAGGCGGATTCGTGTGCGCCACCGAAAAATTTCACGCCCGTAAACGGATTTCGTTCGACGCGGATTACTTCTTCGTCCGAAGCGTCGCGCGTCGCCGCTCTCTTTCTCCACTCCGTTTTCCGTGTTGCGCGTCGAAAACCTCCTCTTCGTTTCTGTGTGTTTGTATCGAAATGTAATTCCGGGGCAAAAGCCGTGTCCGAGCACGGTCGTAACTGGTTCGATTTCAAAGGTTTTATTGCTCCTGACCACACGTTATTTTATAGATCGAGCGCGCTGGTAACTCGCACCAAACAATGGAAATTATACGATCGATTAAGTTAACCTTTTGCACTCGGTCTGTTATTTTTCTCTGCGAAACGGCCAATTTAGCGTGTCGCGTACTCACGCAGTATTTGAAATTGAAATAATTAAATGATCCGTGACAACTGCTGCTCTGGCCATGTTTCTGTTTTCCTTTTAACTTTTTTCATTTTTTTTTTTTGGAGATAATCGTAGCTAGGCGACATTCGACTACGTATTCTTTCCGGTACTTAGACGGAGACGGGGACCATAGCCTCGCAGCCTCCTCGTTCTTCATTGAGCGTGCCAATGCGAAAGAGAAAGAGTAACAAGTTTCGCATAGAGCCGACACACTCGGAGAGAAAGATGCGTTTATCGCGGTCTAATTTTAAATCTATTCATTCTTGCTCCTTTCTCTCCGCGCAACCATTCGCGCCTATGCCAACGTTTCTCGGTGGATTCTCGATGTCATTATCGCAAAGAGAGGAGAAAATTCTTCTTTTTCCCGAGGCTAGATATTCTTAGCTCGTTTCCTCAGCGAGCACTAAAAATTGTTTTTACAAAACCGATATACACGACCGCCTAGTAGCGACACTGTGATCCCCATCCTGCCGTCATCGGCATCGACTATTTGCCCATCCTCTTTTCCGTTCTCTTCTATTTTTTTCGCCTTTTCGATTTTTTCGTCTGTCTTTCTCCGTTGCTTTCTGCTCTTTTTCCGCGAACTCCTGCATCCGCGGTAACCTGTTGTAAAATCCGGCCGCATAAAAATAGCGAGTGCGCCAGGCTCCAGACCTGCGTCGAGCACTTTATCCCTCTTTCGTGTGGTGGTGCGCGCTGGCCTCTTTGTATCGGCGGGAGGAGTGCGCGTTGCAGCGCATCGAGCAAATATTTATTTCGCCGGACTGTGTTCTCGGTACCACCGGACACACACGCGTGTGTTGCGCTCTTCGCCTCTGGTTCTGCTCTTCTTCTCGTTTTTCCACCGGCTTGTTTTTTACCAGCTGGCCGAATTCCTGCGATGAAAGTGGTCGACTTTGCGGGTCCAGTTTCGCGTCTCTTCGAGTCGATTCACACTGCTGAAAGAGAGAAATAGTGAAGGGTAGAGGGAGACAGAGAAGCGAGACTTTTGGAGCCATTTTCTTTCCAATTTTTCTCTGGAAAGTCGAGGTTCTCCCCTCGTTCTTTACCAAGTTTTGGCAGCCAGGAGCCCATAGGCGTCATTGTTCCCCGGGTATGATTCAGACGTTTAGCTTTCTCGCGATCGATAAACCTGTTCTCTCGCAAAAGATCGACGCGTCGGTCGTCGTTCCTCCGGTCGAGGGACGAGCAATGGGAGGGGAGGGTGCGTTTTATATCGGGACCTGTGAAACTAGTCGACGTAAAGAAATTTTCGGGGTTACGTAACCCGGTTTGCTAATGGCCTGTTTGCGAAACGCGGAATTTATGCTGCCATCTGCCGACGTTGGCGATTCCGACGGTCTGTCTGTATATGCGTGCGAATACTTACACACACATATATATATATATATATATATAACGCGTGCGCGTTTATGTTTGCTGCTACGTGCGTGTGTACGTGCGTGCAAAACTCTCTTCTGCCTTTTGCTTACGTGACGTCCGCGAGTCCTCTCCTTGTGCATACGTCTATTTACTCGATACTTGCTCATCTTCTCGCTCGTTCTCTCTTTTCCGTTCCTTCTCTTTCTCTTTGTTCCTCCCAACGGGGCATCCCTCCGCGTCTCGCCCTCCCTCGTTGGTTCATTTCGGTAGCCGACGATTCGCGCGCGGCTGGCAATTTACTTTCGTATGTCGCGCGCGCGCGCGCGCGAGCGAGCGAAGGCGAAGAGAGGCGGGTACAGGCGGCGGGCGAGGCGCGCTCGCCAAGGCCAAACGAAAGTTCGTTCTGAACCAAATCCGACGGAATTTTTTATCTGTAGTATGTGTACTTATCGGGGACGCCCAGGTCTAGCTGCTTGTTTTCGCCTTGCTTGCGCTATTATCGATGATGAACTTGAGGTGACCTCGAAAACTGCGCAACAGTGAGAGCGCGGGTGTCGGACCGAGAGCCGTGCCACAGAGCGAGAGAGCTAGAGAATCTCGTTGGTGGCTAGGAGAAGGGGTCAGGGAGGGGCAAGAGACCAAGAGAGAGAGAAAGAAAAAAAAATGAGAGAGGGGCGTTTACACTTTCGCTCTGTATCATTTGCTGTCATGACACGGTCTCTTTTTTTTCCATCTCTTTTGTTTTTTCTTTCATTTGCAGCACGTCCCAAAACGATTCGCGATACATCTATTTCTCTTCCTATGAATTTCCGTCTCTATTGAGAATGATGCACGGGCTGATACGTCGGTGAATTTCGGCTCGGACTCCGATTTCGAGCGTGGAGGGACCTTCAGTCTTTGCGTATCTAATTGTCAACTCGAAACGTAAATTCGAGCGGTGTTACGTAAGACGTCGTTCGAGGTGAACAGAAAAAAAAAACGAATCGATCGTCGTAATGAACTTTCTTTCACGCCGATTGGCGAGAACCGGGCTGTACCTGGCCCCGTTATCGCGGGATTTTCGCGAGGCGATCGGAAATCAATAAAGCTTGTTTACGGTATTGGCCGAATCGCGATCACCGGGAGAGGCGTACACGACTCTCGAGAGACAAGGTGAAGGTCTACTCGGTTGCGGTGCTTAATTCATTGAGGCACTTTAGTTTCGAGCATCGCCGCCAGTCTCCAGCAGCGATCGAGCGAGTTTCTCGCGAAGAAATTGGCCTTGCGCATTCCTCTTTCTTCCTCTCGCGGTCGTGGTTTATCAGCGCTCGCGGCCGATTAGCATTCCGTGCAATTCGACTCGGCGAAAAAGAAAAAAGAAATTACGACCGGCCCGGCGAAACGAAGACCTGCTGCAAAGGACGACCACCCGATGCATCTACCTCGGAACGGTAGACCATTGATTATCGATCAACGTTTGGTTCTCGTTGATTAAAACCAAGAACAGGAACAGGAACAAGAGAAAGAACAAACGAATATTTCAATACTCGAAAAAGAGTTACCGGTTTGATCGCACTGATTTCATGAAACGCGCAACCGCATATCGGACGAAAGAGGGATTGGGAGGGTCGAAGAGAGGAGGGTAAGTTTCTTCCTCTCGTCCTCCTTGCTTCGCAAACCCTGTCTTCTTCATCCCCACCACTCTGTTCACGTAACTCTTTTAAAAAGTTCGTAAGACTCGCGTAACCAATCCGGAAGCTACTTAGATTTTTCTCTCCCCGCCGATCCCTCGGCTGCCCTATCGTCCTCCACTCGTTCTCTCTTTCTCTCGTTTCTTTCCGTCTCTGTCTCTTGGTTTCCTCTTTGCAACCCCTTGGCACTCCCGTCGTCGTCGTTGGCTCTCTCGGTTTCGTAGTCGCGGCGGTAGCGAACTATCGATCGCCGCGGCTCTCCGCGCTTAGAGTCAACATCAGTCATAATACAGCGCAACGGTATACGGGGGTTATTAAGAATAATACGCATCCTAGGTATATATCCCTTCCCACCGAGGCACCACGGAAAAACGGGGGAAGGAGCTCGTTGCTCGTGGGGGGGTTCCGTTGCTAGGGTAACCGGCTGGGTAAAATCCCGCAAAGAAGAAGCATCGCCGTTATGTTCCTGCTGTTGCTCTTGCTCTTGCTCTTATACTCCCCGTTACTACTGCCGCTCTCTCGTTGTATCGACATCTCATCCTCGCGGACGTTATACTGGCTTTTATGAGACGATGAATGTGTATACTCGCCCTACCTTACCGTAGTTCTCCCCTAGCCCTCTCCGCCCTTCAACCCTCGTTCTCTCCCCTTTGCCTCGTACACCAATCCCTCTTTCCTTCTCGCACAGCCTCTTCTCCTCCGCGAAGAGTTGTCTCTCCTGTGTTAACTCACGGACGATTAACAACATCCGTGTCCGTTTAGTCGGAAAGCGACCCGCGTTTCCGTCGATTTCTTCTGTTTCTTTTATCTCGTACGCCACCACCCCTGCTCTCCTTCACTCATTCCCCCGTTCGCACACGAGCCTCTCGACGCGGGACGAAGAGAATCGCTCGACGCTTCGTGTAGACACGCGTGTAATTAATTCGCGCGAATCTCGGTTGGACTCAGCCCCCTCCTCTTTGGTTGCAGACCGGGAGGTCGCCGAGGAGGACGGGGGTTGGCAGTCCGCTACCAACGGAGACGGTCAACGGGAAACCGGCCAATCGAGCCAAAGTACAGGAACTAGTCAATGCGAGGCGGTGCAGGGGCACCAACAGCACCAGGAGCTGCCCATTATCGATCTGTTAGACGACATTAACGATCAGATGCAGATCGTGCTCAAGTCGGAACCACTGTCCCCGAAGATGGACGATCTCGAGTCCTGTTTGCTCTCGGAGCAGATCGATCTGCAGTTGGATCGTGGCTCGACAACGAACGCTCATCAGAATCGTCCACAGAACAACAGACAACAACATCAGCAGGCGAGAACGGTGTCAAACGATACCACAGTTCCTTTTGCCGATCTACGCTGGCTAACGCAGAACGGTGGCTCACAGCCAGCCTCGAAGTCTCGCGATTCCACGCGAGCGAACGCCACAGAGCAAGAGCTCAAACATTCGAACCGCTCGAACAGCGGCACATACTGCAACTTCTGCCAGAAGACATTCTCACGTGCGTGGTCCCTTCAGAGGCACCTGGCGGACACGCACTTCTACGTGCCGCAATCGCTTTCCTGCGACCAATGCGGCAGGAGTTACAAGTCCCGGAACAGTCTCGTCAGCCACAAGAGCCAGTACCACGCGAGGAAGGAACGCAAGGAGCACGAGGAACAGTGCGAGGTCACGTATTGACCGGCGCCGGTGGTTTAGTGACCGAATTGCGTCGAGGTGTTCCTCCGTCTTGCCCTCCCCCTGCGATACAGACCCTCCTCTATACGAACGCCGGTGGAACGAACGAGGAACACGAGTGCCCACTTTGGGCTCGCCGTTTTAGCCTGTCCGCGACCACCCGGTTCCCCGGCATGAGAAACCGAACAGACGCTTCATCGATATATATGTATAATGTATGTTCCAACTGTCGTTAGGTGCTTTTGTAAATATAGGTTATACGGACTGAGAAGTTCTTATCAACTTTCTTTGTATATACTTCTCTCTAGACACACACACGCACACATACACACACGGTCTTTCCGTTTCCTCGCGCGCAAAGTCTAGTCTTCCGAACGTGAAACGAGTTACCTCGAGATGCACGCCAAAGAAACCGTAAGTTTAATACACGCGTTAGCCTAAGTTACCACGCGAACGTTCGGTTCCTCTGGTTAGCCAGTCCACGACGACGACAAGGAGGTTGCGTTTGCTTTTTCGAAAATACGTTCCGCCATCTGGACTAGTTCCGTGGCAAGTTCGTGGCTCGAGCTCGACGAGTGTCTTTCCTCCCCACAAGGGAAAATCGATACCTTTCTCTTTCGGTATTACTGTGCTCTTCTTCATCTACCCCCTGCGGGCATTGGCTGGGGGTAGTTTACCCCACCGGCAGTAAAGTCAACTTTGTGTCTCTTCTCCCTGTCGATTACCAGGGTTATCCGTTGCTGGATCAACCGACTGCGCGCCACGGTTCTCTTCGATCGGGCCAGAGACCCGCGAAAATTTTTGCCGACCGAGCTTTCGTCGGTCGAGTCGCGAGCTGCCTTCGCGCGCGCGCGCGAAACGAGCTCCGGCCAAGGACAAATCTATTTATCGAACGATTGGACTTATAACCCACCTATCTGTGGACCTTTAAAAATAATTTTTCGATTCAGATACGGTCCATGACTCTCTCGTTTCTTCGTATCGTTCCGTCCGTGTTTCATTCCGCGTCTCGATGCTTGTTCTCGGTGCAGCGGATATTGGCGGTTTCGTATTCGATAGATTCGCCGAGGAAGACCGCGTCGCGCGTTACCAGTCGCTTTTCTCCTTACCGAGGACTGCTAGAACGATCCCGCTCACCCGACAGCTGTAGTTAGTTAAGGAGAACGTCATGTTATTAGCATATAGCGTGAATGTCGTTAGATCTGAATGGAATAATAAAGAACGATTCGAAGGAAGGAAAATAGCATTTGTTTCACTGACGAACACCAACCCGCGACGAACTACTATATTACCCGATAGGCGTCATCGAAACTGCTGCGAGTTACGTAGATCACGTTGAACATAGACAACCAACCGTTCGCTTCATCGCATCATTTCGTTAGACCAAATATATCACATTCTTAGATACATCTCTGGTGCTCTGAAAACACTAACGTCATCGCTCACGATCGTTCACTGGAATCTTGGAATTGCTTGCACTATACTATCGTAATGCGCTAAATAAACACAAAAAAAAAACAGCCCCTCGAAAAGAGCACAACGGATGACTCTCACGAACCGGAGTCAGGGGCACGCTGTCTTTCGCACGCCGGAAGTGTCTTCCGCTGAAACGTTCCTCGCCATTGTCAACGGTATCGCGTGGTTAACGAAGTAGCGAAATAGAATTCTCTTTTTTTCTTTCTTTTTGTTTAAACGTTCTTCCAGTCGGCGTAGAGTTTTTAGAGACGAGACCACAAGGCTGCCCGTCTCGAGGAAACTACGTTTTCGAGATCGAGAAGGAACGACCGAATCGAGAGAGTCGGAAGTAGGAACGAATAAAACGATGACAATGGCGAGGGGACGAAGGCTGTGTGACGGGGAAGGCGCTTTCGTTGGAAGGCCCGCGGCTTCGTGCCGCGTATAGGACGATACCTACAGCGTGCGCACGATCAAGAATGCTATGGTAGCACCTGCAAGCATTATCACGTGGTTCCAAAAGTAACGCAAAACATAAACTCAAAAAATGACAGTTTGAGCACGGCTTGGTCGGGTGACGGTGCAACGTGCGCGCGAAAAAAAAAACTAATCGAGATGGGCGCACGAATATACATATATATATATATATATATATATATTTCTCTATCGGCTCGGCAAAAAAAGGTGGTAGATGGTGGTGTTGAGAGAGAGAGAGAGAGAGAGAGAGAGTGAAAGCAAATAACGAACGATGTATCGCCGGACACGCGATAATGCACGCTCACGCGGCTAGAGGGAGGACTCTAGAGCGGAACTGGGAACGGGGTATGTCCTCGTCCCGCGCCGCGAGAACGTGCGCGCCCGGACACCAACGTGTCCGCGGACCCGACACGTTCGAGCGCCCAAACAAACCAAAAGTAACCCCTGTGTGTCTGGTTCTGCCGCCAGGTCAGTTGGCCGGCAGCGGCGCGTCCGATGAGTTTCGATGCGAGCCTTGCAACAAAATCCTGACCTCCCTAACGCGGTTGAGGCGGCATATACAGAACGTGCACACCAGGCCCAGCAAGGAACCGATCTGTAACATCTGCAAGCGGGTATACTCGAGCCTGAACAGCCTCCGGAACCACAAGAGCATCTACCATCGTCAACACAGCAAGAACGAGCAGCAACGCAAGGAGATGGAACAGATGCGCGAACGGGAGAGAGAGCAGAGAGAGCACACGGAGAGAATAAACTCTCAGCAGCAGCCACAGCAACAACATCATCACCAGGATCAACAACAGCAACAGTCGCGATTAGGATAGATTCAGTCATAAAAAATAAAAACATGACTACCTGGAACCGAGTATTCGTTGAAATTCTTTGGATTTCTTGATCCTCGGGGACTCCGTCGTTGAGATTATCGAGGGTTGGCCTTCGCGAATCCAGCAATTTCCGATTCCATAGAACGATCACGTTGTCTGTCCCTGGATGGATCTGGGACATAGAGATCGAGAATGATATCTCGGTGTTCCACGCGCGCGTCGATCATTTTACCTTTTCGATGCGAACCACACGACGTCACTAGGCTCCCGCCAACCTTTCCAATCGTGTGACACACATTTCCGTGGACAAGTCGTTGAAGAATCTCCTTTTAAACAGTGGTGAATTTTATCGGTTTCGAGGCAGTATCGTTGGGTTATCTTAGACGTCCTGTTTCTGTCGTTTTCGCGATACTTACACGCGATAGGGTATTATCTGTTCTCTTTGCGTACATTCGTTGGCGTTACCACGGACCATTCGCTCGCACTTACCCCTCCACGACGACCAGACATCCGGGAAGAGCGATGTCTTTGAAATCGAGCTGCGAAAAACACTATGTGATAATAGACGACGCTGTTATTATAGTTTTCGAAGGAGTTTCCGTTCGAGCGGACAAATATGGGATTAACAAAAAAAAAAAAAGAAACAAGTTAGAGCTCGAGGCGCTCGAGTTGCGCCAAAAATTTAATTTTTCTACTAAGGTTATAAAGAGATATATATATATATTATATATACATATAAATGTTGCGTTATGTGTAAATAATTAAGCTGATCGGGTCGAGCAATGGATTCGGAACGTCGGTACTTCCACTCGCGACTGAACTCATTTGCTTAGAACGCGTTCTTTATTTAACTTTGTCCGAGAAAAATGAAAAAAAAAAAAAAAAATTCTCTGTTATTTTTATATTACTTGGTTTACGAAGGGTGGTTTATCGGTGGTGGCCGCGTCCACCGCCTGTCACGGTGTTATGAGAAAAGTCGCAGTACAAACGTGAAGTATAAGTTTTTAAAAAAAAAACAACTTTAAGTATAAGTTAACAGTTTTAAGCTAGAGTGTCGCAATGTTCTTCGTGTCCTGCAAGTCGAGGTAGTAGGTCCTCCTTTCATCCTGTTTCCCGTCTTTCTCGTCCTTCAATTCGTTCAGAGCGAGGAGAAAGAGAAGAAATTATCTGATATCGTTCTGGCAGCAAATTATTGTAACGAGTATTCAGAGGCTTTCCTTTCTTCCCTACTTCCAACACTATCGGAACGTTCGATAATTATCGCAAGCCAGTCATGCGGTCGCGATCGTTAAACTACCAATGTCGATCGATTTTCACCGTTCATTTTTATTCGTGTTATTCGAGACACTTGTCTTTCGCCGGAGAAAGTAAATTCTCGCGTCTTTTTAAATCCTTTTATTCATTTTCTCTGTGACACGCTTCGTGTTCCCTTCCTTCGAGCGAGCAGCTGTCACCGACAGCTTCTCCTCGCTTTGAAACGCGGCGGACGGTAAGACGGGAACACGTATTTTTTAGCGATTGTTATTGAATTATTCGTCGGACACGGACTAGTACGTACGGTTACCTTGGTCGAGCAAGAACAATGGTTACGTTGCAATCGCGCCAGCGTCGAGACGCAAAATTGTGATAAAAGTGTGTTTCTTTTAACGTTTAACTTGGACGCACGCGTGAAACAGGTACAATACATAGGTATATCAACTTCGAGCGTAGAATATTCTTGACGACCGAAGTGCGTCGCCTATACGTAGAGAATGTAAATAAAAATCTGTTCGATCGAGCATAGACGGCGTGGAAGCGCGCGCGTGTGCGTGCGTGCGTACGTAGTCGTTGTACATAAGTAAACGTCTTTTATATCAGAATTTATCGATACGAGCGTAATCGCATGCATACCGTGTACACGTATATAAACGTACATACATTTTGTTTCTTTTATCATTAATATCACCGTCTCTTACTTTTATTATATATTTCTTTTTTTATCGGGCTTTCGGGGATAGCAGCGCGCACGTTCAAAATGGTACTCACGCACGTATACGCAAATACAATCATAGCCTTGTTTTCTTCGTTTATAATTACTCTTTTATCATGATTATATTAATATTCTTATTATATAGTTACTACGAATTACCATTATTATTTATGAATAAAATGTTTCTTTTGTACGCTGAGAGAGAGCGGCCCCCCTCCACCCTTATTTTTCACGCATAGGTATATTACGTATATATCGGAGAAAGGTGTACACGCGGGGGTAACGTGGTGGTGGTGGCGGCGGCTCGTTAACCTTCGCCAGTCAGATTACGCAACCTCTCCCGGCTGCCGTTCGGCGTTTTGCATTTTCTTTTCTGTTCCGTTCTGTTCTCTTTGGCCGCCGTGGTGCCTACACCTCGTTGCCCTGCGTGCGCTTCCGGTCGACCCACATATACAGACGCGCGTAGTAACCCACCGTGTGTGGGGGTATACGTGTAAAAGCCCCAGACCCCGTGACACGCATATACACACGGCCCCGGGAAGTGCCGCCTCGAGTTCGTCCCCGAAGTCAATGGGTTGCCGCGTCGCGTTTACGCTTCGTAGCATTCGAGGGTCAGTCAGCATCGA